TCATGTTAAAATTAAATATTTAGATGTAAATTTTGAAAATTTGTTGCTGATATGATTTGACTTGGTTGTTGATATAATCAAACAATTAGATTATGTGATTTGGTTACTAATAAAGTTTGACTTGTTTACTAAACTTTAAGTTGGTAGTAAATGTTTTGGAGTTAATTATTCATTGTAAAATTATGATAGTTTACTTATTCATATTGGATGCTCACATTTGAATTGGAGAATTTCATGACTTGTCCATTATTGTGATTATTAGAAACCCTAGATCATGTTGTTTATTTTGAATCTTTAGTTATGAGAAATAAAAGTTGGGTTTTTATATGTGGACATTTTCTTATATTAATTTTTCCGTCGTAGATTTATATAAGAAATGGATTATTTTGATAATCATTTTCTTGTTTTGAACTTTGCTAACATGAACTTGTCTATTTTAAACCTTTGCTTGTGAATATATAGATTTTTACTTATAAATATCTTAATATTGGCTTGTCAACATGTGAACCTTTTGTTGTTAATACATGGATTTGCTATTGACAAAATTTGAATAATACCTTTATGTGATTTAATAGATGTCTATATTGGTTGCATTGCTAATTTATGTAGATGTATAAAATGGTCAATGAGAAAAAACTGAAAAACATTTGTCCTTACACAAGATGACATGAGTTTAGGAAAGAATTCATTGCTAAGTTGTCTACATTAATTTAATAGTTGCCTCTCATACTCCTCCATGTCTTTTCACTTGGCTACTTCGACAATATGCTTATTTCTAGTCCTGAACTGCGTCCATTATTCATTTTGGTTTAGGATTTAATGATATCATTTTGGTATGGGATTTCATAAATCTGCCTCATCTCCATTTGGTTATTGATATAATTTAACTTGTTTGTTAAACTCTGAGTTGGTCATGGATATCTTGTAATGGGTTATAAAATCATGATAGTTTACTTGTTTATATTGGATGTTCACATGTAAATTGAGAAATTCATGACTTATCCATTATTGTGAAAATGCCCTATCAAAAATATTGGATAATGTGTTATGAAAACATGAGTATTGTCTTGTTTATATTAAATGTTCAGTTGTGAAAAATAAAAGTTGAGTTTTTGTTTATGGACATTTTCTTATATTAATAATTTGTTTATTGTAAGTACAAGAGATGATAAGGAAGATGTTAGGATTGCCATATGCTATAAAGGTTTCAGTTGACAATGTATATGGATATGTTGAAGACATGGAGGATATAGAGCCTCAATTTCAAGTAACCTTTATGTGTTTTGAATATAGTTTTTCATTTTTTATATATATCTTAGATGAAATGTGATGTAACATTTTATGTCTATGCTTGTTTTACTATGAGGGATAGTACCAAGATGGAATATAATTATCCAAATATAATGCACATGTTCTTGCCAATTCAATGAAAGCATTTTATTATTTATGGAGTTTATGTTGTAAAAATTTTGCAATTAAGTTGTGCAGATGTTCAGGTATGCCACATAGACAGACCTTGTATGTTAATATATGAGCTTTGTCGTGTTGTTTATGGATGTTTTGTTGCAAATTTCACCAAGATAACTTGTATATTTTAGTTCTACTAAACCACATGAGTAATGTTGTAAAGCACAAATCTTGTGTTTTTAATATATGAATCTTTTAATGTTATCTACAGATGTTTTATTGTAAATTCCATTTGGATGAACAGTAAATTCTTAAGCTACTAAATCACACTAACAATGTATAAAGTATGGACCTTACGTTGTTAATATGTGGACTTGGTCATGTTAATAGTGGATGTTTTATTATAAATTCAACTAAGGTAACTTGTACATTTCATTGAAAATAAGTTAACCATCACATAACAGCAAGTGTTCTCCTAATTACATTTACCTTTTATTTTTTTTGTTTTATAGTAGCTATTATAAGACTTCTTCCCCCTTCACTCATCTTGTTTCAAATTTACAATAGAATGTTTGAAAACAACAAGGGAAAATTGCATACAAATTCTACACAAGAAAATTAATTACCACAAAATCTATTAATAGCTAAATTAAGACCTAATTGTGTTGTTAATAGCCTTAGTTCAATTGTTAATGGATATTGTATTGTCAATGGTTTTAGGTCAGTTGTTAATAGACATTGTAGTAATTGATTTGTTTATGTGAGATTTCATTGTAATTCTTCTAAACAACAATCAAAAGTCCAATTATTTTTAACAAAATGTTCATTTCTATGTGCCAATAGAAAAAATTTTACAACAAAAATTCCATAAATAACAACTTGCTTTTATTAAATTAACATAAAAATGCATATCATATTTGAATAATTTCATGGTGGTATTGATTTTTTCAATGAAACAAGTACCAACATGAAATTTGAACAAATTTCATGCACAAATATACTAAAAGTCAACAATCATATCTGACATGAAATTTACAGGATAAATTTAGTAGTAACCCTTATTCAACTTCAACTGTCATAACCACATTTATTATAAGGTAAAGGCATATTTTTACCTCTAAAGTATTTATCGACGAGCACCTAACACTCTAACATTTTTGTTAGAGTAATTTTGCCCTTAAAGTTCTTAAAATGAAACATTTTTGCCCTTTGTGTCAAATTTTGCACCCAACATTAGAATTTTGACAGAAAGAGTAAAAATGCTCTGTTTTAATAACTTTAAAGATAAAATTACTCCAACAAAAGTATTAAGATGTTAGGTGCTCTTTAAAAAATACTTGAAGGAAAAAAATACACCTTAACCCTTTACTCTAATATAAATGGAGATTTCATTGTGAAAGAGAGTAGATTTTGTTAAAAATTAAAGGACTTTTTGCTTGTTTAGACAAGAACTTTTATCAATAATTCCATCACCGCGCCGCATACCTTTTCCTCAAAATATACACCATGATATTTGCTTCAGTTTCGAATGGGACCAGAGGAGCTCAACTCAGAGTTAATCAAGCCACATGACAAAGTCCTTAATTTTCAGCTTTTGTTATTCTTCCTTATCGAAAAGTTATCCAAAAAAAAAAACTAAAAATATCAAGCATCATATTAAGCAGCCCAAATGTAAGATGTCTCCTCTTTCCATAATCAGCTTCCCTAAATCTAGAATGATGTTTGTCCTCTTGTGATAATCTTGATTCGCTTTGAGTTCTTGATGACTGTCTTGTTCCCACTCATCTTCATAGTTTGCTTGGCGATCTCTTTACCATTAGGAAAAGAAGAAGAAGCAAAGAGGTGGTCCGCATTTATTTTTCAAATTAGGGGTAATTGAGTCTTTTGAGTTTCAAAATTAATTGTAAATGATGCCCTTGCAGAACACTATCAGACCGTATTAGGCTTTAAAAGTAATTATATTCATTTGAGGGCTCTAGGTGCGATTCTCGCAGAAACTTATGAGAAGATCTGGATCCAGCTCCGTCCGAGTTGTCTGACTAGAAAATGGCATGTACGGCATCCGAGTTTTAAATGATTGAAAACTTCAAGTTTAAGAAGCCAAGGATTGACCAGCCGCTTAACCTTGAAAATGAATGCATGACGTGGATTTTTTCCCCGTAAGATGTTTTTTGTTCTTTTAAGCCAGCCTTTTGAACATTATACGTAGCCAAACCCAAATAAACTCAGCCAGATTATTCATTAATTATATAATAATGATTTTTCTTGACGAAGTAAATAAAAACTAACAAGGCTTTATTGATGAATGATATTAATAGTAAAATAATTTTAAAATGTATAAATAAAAGCCTGGGATGCCGAAATCTTTCAAAGGACGGATAGTAGGCGACATAAATGGAAATTAATTAGTTATAATAAAGGCATGACATATAAAATTTGAAATGAACAAGTGATGCATAGTGTCATTTTCTGGGTAACATATTAGTCTCAATTTTTTTATTGAATTCAAACGCAATAATATAAGTTTTACTATTAGTATGTTTTTTCTACAAATTTTATGAGTTAGATGTTGGTAGTTGATTAAGATGAAGGCATGCTAATTACATGCTAATGTTTTTGTGACATTAACATAAAGTAAACTTTGAAAACAACTTATCTTTACTATGAGATGAAGTTAAAATAATTAATTTTATTTTTAATTTTATCTTAAAATAGTTAATTTGTTCAATTTTATCTTTATTTATTTATGGGTAAATTGGAATACAACCTCATGAGTTTTTAGGTCAAGTAGCATCATAGACATTAAACTTATTTATAATATAATTTTTTTAACTTTTAAAAATAGTATAATCCTAACCCTTGCTATTAACAAAAATTAATTTTAATAGTTAGTTGATTAAAAAATGGCATCAAAAAATATAAAAAAGATCAAAACTTATAATAAGGACCCAAAAAATTACACAAAAGACTAACATTTGCTTTGGAACCTTTTCTATAATTTTTGAATCATTTCTTGATTAATTAATTATTAAAGTTAACTTTTATTAATAGTAAAGATTAAATTGTACTATTTTTAAAAATTAAGAGAATAATTTACATAACAAACCAATTCAGGATCTATGATGCTATTAGATATAGAGTTCAAGGGATAATTTACTTATTTATCCTCTATTTATTATGGTTTGGATCTATGGACAGTAATTTATTATTATTATCTATTTGTAATATTATTTACGTGCTTATGTTTGTTTGTTTATTATTATTTTTTTTATAAAGCCTATGTTTGTTTATAATGTCATTATAAGAAAAAAAATGTGAAAGACTTGCATGATATTTAAAAAAAAAAGGAGCAAGGAAGGAAGAAAGAAGTCATTTGCCTTGCTACCAAAAGGGGGTAAAAAAAAAATAAAAGTAAAAAGAAAAAAGTCATTGGTCTTAACTCTAAAGTATTTACTTGTGAACAAAGAACAAATGATAATGGGGAAAAATAAAACAGATAAGCCATCATCTCCCAGAAAAAGACTAGACTTGTCATTTGACGCAGAAGTTACTTCAGAGTACACCCCTTCCATCGAACCCTAAAAATAAAATATTTTACCAATCAGATATATAAATAAACTCACACTGACGCAATCTCAAGTTTCATTTTTCACCTACACTTTTCTCACTCTTCAAGCCACAATGGACGAATCCAGCTCATCGCAACTTCACCAAATCGGCCATGTACCATAATCCACTTCACCTGCATTGCTTCCAATGGGAAAGGCCGACGAAGAACAGCCTTTGCCTTACAATTTAGCCTCCGAGGATCCCGAGCAGAACGTGGAGGTCCGGTGTGGTTGTAGGTGTTCTGCAATTCGAAAATTCATCGGTCTCAGATGCATTTTCATTCTCCTATTATCTGTTGCCGTGTTTCTCTCTGCTGTATTTTGGTTACCCCCATTTTTTGGGTACGCAGATCAGAAGGATCTGAACTCAGGTGCCAAGTACAAAGGTGGGTTCTGGTTAATTCCCTTGTTCATTTTTGGGTTTCTGCATTGCGGCATTGTTTCGTAGGCATAGTGACACCGATCTATTTTCCTTTTGGACTTTATTTTTTTTAATATATTTTTATTTGCGTGTCGTTTTAATTCGTGATACCCGCTTGTTGGGCCATTGTGATCCTTGGTTTGTTTCAGAAAATAAAATGTCGGGAGATTGGACAACGGTATGATTGTTATTTTTAATTTAACTTTGCAAATGATGGCAATAATTATCGTAGCCACATATTGATGAATAATTCACTGACGTTATTGCGATTTTCTAAATCCGGGAAAAGGAAGTACTGAAAGATGCAGTGTTTTCGGGCTTTCGTAATCTTTGTTTCTATTTCTGTTTGCTTATCAGTAAAAGAGTTTCAGAAATTGAAGAAAACATTTTCCTGGATTCTAATAATTACTTTCGTTGACTATATTTTGAGCAAGGTTTGAAGATTTTAGTATCATAGGAGTGCACCTTAAAAATGGTTTTGATGCTAAATGTTCTTAGCTGGACCTTGCATTATCTGCACTCTCTTGCATTATTTGCTTTATTCGATTTTTGTCTTTTGACGACGTTTATACATGCAGTTGGTAAAAGCAGTAGCTTGTGCGTGGCGATGCTTTTGAAAGATTCCAAACTAGTCCCACCTATTGGCTATACTTATTTAGAGCCATCCTTTCTCTATAACATTCCTAGTTTAGGCTGACACATTTTTTGACATCAACTAGCTTGTTTCCAGTTGTCTATCCCGGCATCTCCCCCATCGCCCCCAAATTTTTTTTTTTTGGCATGGTTTCCATGTTGGTGATTTGGTGCGTTTCTAGAACTCGTGTTTCAATACTTATGGAACTAACTTTTGGTGCAGAGTGTATATTATTAGTGACAGAAAAACAATTATGAATACTCTTCACTTAATGGTTGTATACTTTTGCAGATCATGATATTGTTGCAAGTTTTGTTGTTGGGAAGCCAGTTTCTTTGCTGCAAGACAACATATTGCGGCTAGAAGAGGATATTTTTGAAGAGATAGGAGTTCCCTCTACCAGAGTAGGCCTCTCATTAATTTCCTTTTTTGCATTTTATCAATATTTAATTATTAATTTCATTCTCATTTTGAAAATCAGGTCGTCATCTTGTCTCTGGATCCCTTTCCTGGGACAAACATGACAAAAGTTGTGTTTGCATTTGATTCTGATGGTGAATATTCAGAAATGTCTTCAGCTGCTGTTAGTTTGATAAGATCATCATTTGAATCTCTGGTCATACAACAATCATTTCTCCATCTCACTTCGAACTTGTTTGGAGATGCCTTTTTCTTTGAAGTGCTGAAATTGAAAGGAGGACTCACTGTAATTCCACAACAGAGTGGATTTCTTCTGCAGGCTGGGCAAATACTATTCAACTTTACTCTGAATTTCTCTATCTATCAAATACAATTAAACTTTGAAGCATTGACAAGTCAGCTAAAGTCTGGTTTGCATCTGACACCCTATGAGGTTAGTTATTTTATGTTTTCCCCGTTCTTCATTATATCTTCTCGTAATAGTGCTTACACCTTCTGTGCTCGAGGTCAACTTTCACCTGTGGTGTTATTGACATGCGCAATACCAAAAGTTTCCTGTATGAGAATTCTGTTGTGGGAGACCGTGTCTTCTATGAATGAATCATGTTAACATTGGATTTTGTAAAAAGTAAGGCTATAGTGTATGCTAATATATCAGTGTCTTCATTTGCTCTTAGAAACAAGTCCCTAAATTGAGGAATTCCCTACCTCAGATTACAAAGTCGCTCTCAGTAATTTTAGAAGACATCTGATTACATGCTAGGATGCTTGTTATTGTCTGCACCATGCTAATTCTGATGACATTTCTTAAATGCGAATCGGGATGCAGAACCTGTATGTCATATTATCTAATCCTGAAGGCTCAACAGTAGCTGCGCCTACTATTGTTCAGTCATCTGTTTTCATGGCTATTGGGATTTCTCCATCAAAGGAGAGGTTAAAGCAACTGGCACAAACCATCACAGGTTCTCATTTTAGGAACCTTGGCTTGAACAATACTGAATTTGGTCGGGTTAAGCAGGTTCGACTTTCATCCATCTTACAGCACTCCCTTCATGGTGGAAGTGGCACTAAATGGTCGCCTTCTCCTGCTCCTCTACCTCATTCACACCACCACCATAGGCATCACCACTACCAGCACCACCATACAGCCCATCAAGCTCCTGTGTTTTCACCTACACCTGCACCTGCAGCTGGGAAAGGTGCACTCTCACCTGAGGCTGGCTCTCCTGCAGCTCCAGGAAGTGTGCCTGCGCCAGGGAGAAGTTCTCGAGCTGAGCCTCCTAATTGCAGATCTGCTCGGAATACTGTAAAACATGCTCATCCAACACCTGCAGTTGCCCCTGCTGTAGCCTCACCCTTTTCTGTTGCCTCACCAAAACAGCAAGTCGGATCACCTCCTCATGTCTCTCATTCAGTTCCTGCTTTTAGTCCTTTGCCAAATGTAGCCTTTGCTCATGCTGAGCCCCCTCCTAAGAATGGACCATCTTCGGAACGTTCTGACACACATTTTCATGAGCCATCACCATCTTCATGTGAGTATGCTCAATGATCTAGTCAAGTTATTTAAGTTGAATCTAACATGGACGCTGTCAGTCTAAACTAAAGGGAACTCATTTAACGTACCTATTTTCATATTAAAATCATTCATCGCCTCTGGTGATGTCAATTTTTGTGAGAATTACTTATATTTTATCGAGAAATTGGAAATGGTTTGTGTTATTGTCCAAGTGGAATGGTAAAGTGTAATCGAACAACTTTGAATATTTTATGTGCGCCTCAAATCCTCAGAAGTACCGTGCCTGTTAATTGTTTGCTTCTGTTTTCCACTCCCTCTTTTTTCTTCTCCATTTAAACTGGTCTTGAATGATGTATTTATTTATTGGTTCTTGGGTAACTTGTGCTTCTGGAACTTGAGGGTGTCGTGTTTAGGGTCTTATCCATATGTATCCCGCTTAGTAAGGCCTTGCATTTAGTCCTGTCCATTTAGGTTGATGGGCTAACATGAAGCGTCTATTGCGGTTGATGCATTCCTGATATAAGGTATAATTTTGGTTATTAATTTTCTTTGTATACTTACATCTTGATTTCTTAGCTTTTGCAGGTCGTCGACGATCTCTTGAATGGACATCTTTAATATTTGTAGCACTCGTGTTATGTATCGTAAAGGACTGAAAACGTATGAATAGGAAAGTAAATGAAGAGCACCATAAATATAAGCCACGCGAAGGCCAAGCTCTACATCTGAGTCTGAGGGGATATAAAGATGTGATTAAGCGTGTAAATAGTTGAAAAGATCCACACCTTTTTTGCATGTTCAGGTCAAAGTCCACTCGTGGCAGGCCTTGATCACATGCATTACCGCTGTTTTGTGTATCATCTATGTAAGGGGGAAATTTGAAAGCAAAAGAAAAGAAGTGACGTTTTCCATTTTTGTTTTGCCTCCTCTCAATTGTTTTGAGTTGCCGTAATAGAGGCAGTTCTCATTAATCATTATGTTGTTCTAGTGCTTTGCAATTGTTAAATTAATTATGTTCGTGTACGGTCAATGCGTAATTATGATTATAGCTGAGAATTCTCTTAATAAGTTACCCATGATACATTCTCTTTTGGTTAATTTGTTTTGTACTAGACTTTAAATTTGTTTCTTGATTCTTCAGATGAATCGGATGAATTCCTTGGTAACATATTATTGATATTCATGTACAACATATACACATGCATGAAATTGTTTCAAGTTCATGGAATGTCAGTGATAGTTTTTCTTGTCTTTTGAATAATTCCACTTTAAAATTCAAAGGCGTAGCCAGAAATTTTAAATTGGGAGGATAATAGATGTGTCTGTCTGTATGCATGCAATATTAAAAATATAGTATATTATCATGGTTGTTTTCTCTGGTACAAAACTAAAATTAGTATATTATAATTAATTTTATGTCTATAGAATTACATATTTATTTAAAAATACAAAATTATATATCATATGCTAGATGACAATTGTAACTTGTAAGGTTCCAAATGTGGGAAATTTTGAAATATGCATTAATATTGTATATTTTTAAAGTTTTACTGTATTGTTGCATTGATTAAAACAATTCTGGTGTTAGATTTAGATCTTTATTTTTTAAAAAACAAGGATAAAAGCTATTATGTAATACTTAATTTTTAGAAAAAATAATAATAAAATTTTTTTAAATTATGTAATGACATTTTGGTCATTCGAAATGTCATAATTCTTTTAAAATTTCTAAAAAAAATTTTATCATTAAGGAATTAATATAAATAATCAAATTACTTTTAATTTAGGATTTCAAATTTGAATTTACAAAATTATTATTGCTTTCTTAATTTTTTTTAAAAAATTATGAATATTAAAACAAAATTTGTGAATGACAATTGATATTAGAACTAAGTATAATTTAATTATTTATATTAATTTTTTAATTACAAAAAATTCTCTAGAGACTTCAGATGAAGTATTGCATTTTGAGGGTGTTTGGGCTAAATATGAAACGTTGATCAAATAGATCACAAGGACTAGTTGGGTTGAGTAATTGAAGCGTTATGCCCAATATAAATGAAAAAGACTGGCCCTGAGACTCAATAAAGGCCATAGTAAGTAAACATACCAAAATTCATCAACTGCAAATATTAGACTGTTGGCGCGAAAGACACAATCTTAAATAATGTCAAAATCTACGCCAAGTATCTCGATGAAATGAGTTGGTTACCAAAATGGTGAGCATGAAATAAAGATCATGCCATGAGTTTCACGGGATCCCTAATTCTTCAGCAAAAAGTGCCAGGTTTTAAGAAAGAGACTACTGCTAATCTGACACTATAAATAAAAAAAGAAAATACAGAAAAAAACTAGTCAACACTCAATCAAAAACTTACAATTTTACATTTATTAGCCTTGTTTAGTTTTTAGTTTTAGATTTGTAATCTTTTCACATTTCAATAACAATTAAATACTTGTTCTACTAAAACTTTATATATTTTTATATTTGAGTAAATTGTAATAAAGGAACTCGAAATCCTTTTATTATCAATTGAGACTCAATGTCTTTGACATGTCTGATATTTGTTGTTTATCACGAACAGAGGAATTAAAATGCCATTTATATAAATTAAAAGAATATTATTATTATTTTTCTTTATTTTTATATTTTTTTATTTAGAGATACCGAATATTTTTTATATAGAATTTGAGTGTTTGGGTCCCGCTTGTGTGTCGGGATGCATCTTATTTCGCGCGAGGATGCTTATCCTCGGCGTCCGTAATCCAGATCCTGACATCCGGTGACGAGCCTATCATATTAAATAGTAATATATTTTTTTCCTTACTTTTGATGTGGCAGAAAATTAACGGTGATTTATAAAAAGGAAAAACAAAAAGCAATGGTGAGAATCATGCTTCCGATTTAGGCCTTCCAGAGATGAGATTTCCCTGGCGTTTGAAGCCACCTGGATGGGGACAGCGCAACTTGTATAGCGTGAGGCAACGTTTGTAGCATTAAATTTAGATTGGAATTTAAAGTTTTAATTTTTATATTTGCAAAATTGCTATAAAATTTTTTTGGGAGATAAATTGTTTTGTGGGATGAAGATTAATTAAAGGATCAAATACATTCTAACCTATGACCTTACATTCCCAATCCATCACCTTGCACCTCAAACCTTGTGTCATTGCATGCTATAAAGGCACAAATTTTATGAAAATACAATCTATTATTTTAAAAGTGATGATCTATAAAAAAAAATTAACATGAACAATGAATTGTTTAAACTACAAACATGTAAATTATATATCATTTTTAAAGGTATAATTTTGTTATATAAGATTATAGACTTGGTGTGTAAGATTATATAGGTTTGAATACAAGTTGATAAGTTTGGGGGCATAAGATTATAGGTTTAATGTGCAATGTCGGAAGACTTGCAGTGCATTTGATTCTTAAAATTGGTCTTGATCCTTTAAATAATTTTCCTTTCAAAGAGAAATTTATGTCAAATTTTCTATTTCAAATCTTAAATTTAAAATTTATGAATTTTAAATTCATATACATACTTTTAAATTTAAATTCATACATTTTTAAGTGCTTGGTATTTGGTTAAATTCCTGATCCAAATATAGCATTAATGTATCTTGAGTTTGAGATATTTCCTTCATCGTGAAAGTTATCGGAACCCAACTTTTCCGTCGTCGTCTTAATTATTATTATTATCAAGACCAAAATGCTGCAATGATGGAGCCTTCGACGGTTATAAATGAACGCAACCAAAAAAAAAAAAAAAAGTCACGTGCATGACAAAGCGGCCCGGTGGCCAGCTTAGCTTTCGCGGTTGAGATTTTGAGGCGGATGAACCATATTGGAGGGGATCACATGATATATTGTCCATTGACTCTCAAATTGGATAACCACAAGTCCATAATCTTCCATTACAACTGGAAACTCTCTTCTCCATATTTCTTCTTCTTTATTCGTCTCTCAAAACAGATCCCCTGGTTTCATTTTACCTTTTCGTTTCCCTTTTCTAGTTGAGAAAGTATGTCACATTTTCACAATATATTAAAATTGGTAGTGCTATTGAACTGATTAAGATATTAATTATTAAATTAAAATTGTAGTTGAAACTGATTAGATCAATTATGAATAAAATATTTTATTAAACTTATCAGCATATCAATTTATCAATTCAACCGATCTAGTTAACATAAATTTCAATACAATACATTTTCAATTGCTTCTTTTACAAAAATAACTTCAATTATGGAGATATCAATTGTCACATCCTCTGAGAGTGAAATAAAGTAGCAAATCATTTTGCCAAACTAGCGTCGCAACGTTTGCCAGGCTTCAACAGAGTTCCAATTCTGCCCCCGATGTTGAGACTCTTATTCTAGTTGATTGTAGTAATTTACCCCGGATGGAATGTGGGCGTGCCTCTAGTCATTAAAAAAAAAAAAGAATAACTCCAATTATGATTTTAACAACGTGGATGTTTGTTAAGGAAAAAAAAAAAAAAGAACAACGTGGATGAATGATGAATACCATGAAATTTATCTTAATCTGAGGGAGATGTTTTCTTTTCTTTATCCTATTTCAGTTTAAATTCACACAAGATTTTGATATTTTTATGCATCATAGAATTGGTACGAATCAGGCTTTCATACACTTCTAATTTTACGCGCATATTAATTCCCACGTAATTATGATAAGAAGGTTTCATGCACAAACAAGCACGGTGACATATGAATATACATTTACATCCCTCCCCCGGCCAAAAAAAAAAAAAAAGAAAGAGGAACATTCATTTGCAAAAATAAACTAGGATACTGCAATTGAGGGTAAGCATTTATTAATTACTTTAGCCTGACTCTCCAATCTTATTCCTGACGAAATATGTCAAAACCAAATCACGTCAATTATTTTAATTGAATTCCACGGTTCTTCCCCCAATTAAATACGACGCGAGGTTTGTCCTTGTCAAAATGGGAGAAAAAAAGGACGGCCAGAGATTATTGTTTATTTATTTATATTTATATTTTTTTTATTCCACTATCAAGGGCCTGAAGTCTTCCTCACAATAAGTTAATTTAAGGCATGCTTGGGTAATACTCAAAATACATCCAAATCATTATTTAAGATATTTTTTTTAATCAAATTTAACAAATAATTACATCCCCAAGATATAAACTGAAATTAAGGCACTCAATTCTTTGTCCAATTCGACCAAGCGGCTTTCTTTATACATTTATATTTTATACGACATAACGTTTACACACACTTCTGGCAAAAAAAAAAAAAAAAAAAGGTTTACAAACACTAACCTGTTTTTATTTTATACCGCTGATAATATCTTGTGGAAGGCCCTGGGAGAAAAGCGGACGTGCAGGGACGTAGCCGGCTATGTCCCCAGTGTCACTTTCCCCCTCAAAGCTCGGTTGAATAGGCCTAGCAAGAGCAGCTTCACAAGTCACAGCCATAAGTATTCGATAAAGTATCACCGCCTTTTTGGTGTATCAAATATCTATCCCCTGAGACGGCTGATCGTGGCCCCTTTATATTGTTGTCCACTTTCGTCACAGAAAAAATCTCTATACAAAGCTGAAAACCTTTGCCCGCATTTGTGTTGCGTTGCGTCGAATTGCGCAAAGGCCTCTGGCATTCGCTTGTTTCATCTCTATTCTTTGTTGTCTCTGATTGAGTCTATTGTCAATTCCCTCTGGAAGACCTGCGAAATCATATCTTTCGGTTTAAGTAAGGTGAGTTGGGTTGGGCTTGTTCGTGTTAATTCTTGTAGATTTCATTGGATATATTAGCACTTTTTTTTTTTTAACTTCGTTTGAGTGACTTCTTTTATGGTTTTTGTGTGTGAGTTTTAGTTTATACATGACCCTGGCTTTCGAGCTGAATTCCGAAACCGACCTCTCTCGTTTACTTAAATAGAGCTGAGGACATTGTTCGACTGCTTAAGCTGAGTGAAAGGATAGGAATTGAAGCATTTCATTAATCTAATAGGGAATTGGAGTCTTGATTAATCGTTTCCTTTTACTTTTAATGTCCGACCAAGAGGACACGTCTTTTGTGCCCAGAGTTTCGTTACTTTTGT